CTGTGATCCTCTGTCTTGTTTCCTCAAAGTCCTCATATCAGTGAGATCATATGATACTTCTCTTTCTCTGATTGACCTATTTTGCTTAGCATAATACCCTCTAGTTCCATCCACGTCATTGCAAATGGCAAGATTTCATTTTTTTGATGGCTGCATAATATTCCATTGTGTATGTGTATATATATATATATATATATAGCACATCTTCTTTATCCATTCATCTGTTGATGGACATCTAGGCTCTAGGCTCTTCCATAGTTTTGCTAGTGTGGACGTTGCTGCTATAAACATTGGGGTGCATGTGCCCCTTTGGAGCCCTACATTTGTATCTTTGGGGTAAATAGCCAGTAGTGCAATTGCTGGGTCGTAGGGTAGCTCTATTTTCAACTTTTTGAGGACCTTCCATCCTGTTTTCCAGAGTGGCTGCACCAGCTTGCATTCCCACCAACAGTGTAGGAGGGTTCCCCTTTCTTGTCAGGGTGTTTTTGGCTTGTGAGGGCAGGCACACATCCTGGGAAGACAGTTGTGGTGGGCCTTCTAGAACACTTCTGTGGCTGAACGGATCAAGGATTCTGTCCCAGTCCTGGACTGGACACATCAGAGTGACATGATGCGATGGTGAGTCATAGACTTTTGAGGCACACCTAGCTGGCCTGAAAACCAGGCCCTCCCACTCACCAGCTGTGCCACACTGGGCAAGACACCATTCCCCCTGAGAACAGCAACCTCTGCCTGGCCTGCCCCGTAGAGCTCTTGCAAAGGGGCGAGAGGATTGAGACAGGTAATGTGCTCAGCACGGGGCTTGCCACATTACAGTAAGTGCTGAGCAAAAGCTAGCTATATCATTCTTATGTTGACCAATTATTTTATTTTATAAGATTTGAAAGATATGCTCTGTGATGTCAGGAGGGAGTGAGGATGGGAAATTTGATGATTTTAGGAGTTTAAGGAAGAAATTCCTGGAAGAGTTTGGTGATGATGTCAGCAAACCTGCAGATCTGTATGAGGTTTCCATGTGTTTCTTCACTCAGTTCCAGGCTTCCCTGGCGGGCAGTAAATCTGGAAGTCAGTAATCCCCAGGGCTAAGATGAGGGTACCCCAGGATGTTTGCAAAACAGTTCACTATTTCAGGGGAACACTGTCGACACTGCCTTAAAAAAAAAACAATCAACTGATCAATCAACCACATGACCTCAGGTAAATAATGTTTCCTAAAATGAGAGAATGGGTCCTTTTTCCCCTCTAAGCCAAGAACTAATTGAAAAATAGGTATAGGCCCTTGATAGTCATCCAAATAAGACACTTGATAGTAATTAAAATAAGAGCTTTGTTCTGGTGCATCAACTTTGGAGAACACATAAAAAAAAAAAAACCCTATAGTAACAAATTGTGCTGGGCTATGAAGAAAAGTATGGTGACAACCCAGAACAAATCTGGATTAGACATGGGAGCCAGGGAAATAACATTTAAGGTCTGATCTAAAAGAGTACCTGAAGGTGAGGTCATTCCAGCTGAGGGATCGGCACATACAAAGGTCCGTGGCAAGATGGAGAGCAGCTGTTTGAGAAACCAAAAGAATGGCAGTGTAGCTGGAAGGTAGTGAGTGAGGGAAAGCCGGTAAGGCCCACATTACACTGGGCCTATGGGACCCAATAACGATTGTTCATTTTGTCCCAAGATCAAAAGGTTTTAAGCAGGAGAGTGATATCAGTAGTTCCGCAGAAGCTTGGTCTGGCCACAGTGTGGAGAATCAGTCAGATCTCTCCTTCTTGGAAAGCACTGTATCATGACCCTCCCTCTGCAAGTCTGCCTTCCTGCTTATAGGCGCTTTGGTTTGTGAGATGAAAAAGAGGAACAGCCTGGTGGCAGGAGAGGGGTGGTTAGTAGCTCCAAGTACTAGGAAGACTGAGCATTTGCGAGCCAAGTGGAGAATGGGTGTAATTAAGAGGAAAAGGTACAAAGACGTGTCTTGGTTCCTTTTGCCAGTAATGATTATACCACACTTTCTTGCTTTAATATCAACTTGGAAAAGTATATTGGTCCCCAGTTTGAGTTCTTAGCTCACGGGTGGTACAAGAATGTGAGAAGCAAATACCCTTCTCTGGGAGATAAAAATCCAGTGGACTTTTTATGTTATGTTTCTGGTCCCTTGACATGAATTGGCTTTATCTAGCTGTCAGATGAAACCCCAGTTGCAGCCATTAATTTGGAGTGGGCTTGGCTGATGGGTGAAGGTATTATTTTGTAGCTTAAAACCTCAACAGTATGTCCTTCCTCCTCCAAAGTGGTGATTAGACCCAGATAGATGTGACCCTTGCCAGCTGAGTTGTGCTCAATACTGTTGAGTTGTGCTGGGGAAGGCTCCTCATTTAGAGACAAAATGATGATGAAATTTTTATAGGATGAAAGTCCTACCTTGTGTATAGAAAAAGCATATGGAGAGGGTAGAGCTGTGTTCTACTTATGAGTCATTCATCCAACAAGTATTTATTGAGCACTGTCCTGGACATTACTGGTTGCTCTTCCTCCAGGGAATTGTGCTCAGCTGATGGTACTCAGAAATGCCTGGGAGATTATGCTTGCACCCCCTCTGAGGACGGCCCACTGCCAGTAGAGAGGGCATCCAAAATGGTGGCCCCATGCTGCAAGTTGAATAACTCTGTGATGTCATTCATGTGCCAGAACTCCCTGTGGAATCAGAATGAAGCTAGGCTTCTGATGAATCCATATCCATTCACCCTCTTCTGCTCTCCGATCTCCCTTCCCTCCCTCCCTTTCTCCTGAGAATACCCCCTTAATAAAATCAGGGTATAAGAATCCCTGTTTGAGGCTTTGCTTCTTGGGGACCTGATCTAGGACAAGCCCCCACTGTGTGCCAGGCACTGTGTCTGTGATGGTCAAAGCCTCTGCCCGATGGCAGCTCAGTACCTTCTAGGGAGTCTGATTTTCCATACCTTAGTCTCTGTAATTTTGAGAGGTCTCTTAAGCTCTGCCAGCTCCAAATTTCTCATCTTTAGATGGTGGTAACAGCACTTGCCTTGCCCGAAAGGACCAAGTAACAGCAGCTCAAGGATGGTTTTAGTTCTCTCTGAAGTCCGTCAGCTTCCCTTCCCCATAACTGCTTCTAGACAGGAGTCCTGCCTTCTACTTTCAGATAGGTTGCTGCTCCTATATATAGAAATTCTGGGTCCTTCACTGGGTTTTTAGAACCATAGATGGAGAGAATATTGGATTTCTTTTTGCTGTATTCTACCTACATGTTTGTTGAATGAATGAATGATAGTATAATTAATAGCAGCACTATCATTAAAGCCCCACATATCTAGCCCATTACTATGTACCAGACACTGAGATAAGCACTTCATTGCTTCTTATAGTGAAGGAAATAGAAGCATTGAAATATCAAGAAATACTGAATATGAGAGCAATTTGAAAAACTACATAAGGGGGACTGCCTGGGGGGGCTCAGTAGGTTAAGCGTCTACCTTTGGCTCAGATCGGGATCCCAGGGTCGTGGGATTGAGCCCCACACTCAGAGGGGAGTCTGCTTCTCCCTCTCCCTCTGCCCCTCCCCCCTGCTTATGCACACACACACTCTCTCCCTCAAGTAAATAAAATATTAAAAAAAAACTATGTAAAACACATATATAAGAGGTAAAATGTTAAAGGAGTAGGCTTTGGATGGACAGATTAAGCCATATCACTGACTTTTCTCAAGAAAATTGCTGGAAGGAATTTTTGTTTAAATGTTTTTCTATAATTTGTTCCTTTGTTCATTTCATCTGTGGACAACTCCTTTAACCCATGTTCAAAGTCATGGAGGTTGTTTTTGAAACTTTAAACCAAACACTTGCAGATGATTCCCCTCAGGATGGAAAAAAGGCAGCAAGCAATAAAAAAAGAAAATCATGACCACCTGCTGGTAGAGTTTTGTTTTGTTTTGTTTTTTTAATTTTTTTTTTAAAGATTTTATTTATTTATTTGAGAGAGAGAGAGAACGAGAGATAGAAAGCACGAGAGGGAAGAGGGTCAGAGGGAGAAGCAGACTCCCTGCTGAGCAGGAAGCCCGATGTGGGACTCGATCCCGGGACTCCAGGATCATGACCTGAGCCGAAGGCAGCCGCTTAACCAACTGAGCCACCCAGGCGCCCCTGTTTTGTTTTTTTAAAGATTTTATTTATTTGAGACAGAGACAGCGAGCAGAGTGAGGGGCAGAGGGAGAAGGAGAGAGATAATCCCAAGAGACTCCCCACTGAGCGCAGAGCCAGGTGTGGGGCTTGATCTCATGACCTTGAGATCATGACCTGAGCCAAAATCAAGAGTTGGGTCCTTAACTGGCTGCGCCACCCAGGGGCCCCCTACTGGCAGAGTTTTATCATGGCTCTGTCCTATTGCTTGGGTTTCAGTGGAGGGAAAATACTGCCAATAAATTGATCATTTGTTTGGTTATGAAACTTGGATAGAACTTCAGTATAAGGCACTATATACATGTAGATACACCGGAGTCCCTGATTGTATGATCTACGGTTTTACTTATCATTACTCCAGGACAGGAGAATGTTAGTTCGGTTTGGTGATTTTTCATGCTGGTTCTGGAATCAAAAACACTTGGTAGGATTCTTGGCTCTACCATTTACTGTGTGAATTTGGACAAGCTATGAATTTTTTTGAGATCAGCACCCTCATCTCTAAAATGGAGACAACAATACTTATCGGTCACAATTGCTGTGAAGATTGAGATAATGCACATAAAGCACTTAAAACATTAGATCCAATATAGTAAGTGCTCAATAAAAGGTAGCTTCTCATATTCATACCATCTTCTGAAAAGGGCTTGAGGCTTGTCAGAATGGAGTACTCTTGGGTGAAATGGGGCTCTATCATGAGCCCAACATCTCTGTGTGGGTGATTACTAGTTCGTTCGTTCCTTCCTTTTTTTAAGATTCTCCATTCATTTGAGAGAGAGAGAGAGAGCATGCACGCACGCGAGCTAGGGGAGGGGCAGAGGGAGAGAAAGAATCTTAAGCAGGCTCCATGTGCAGCACGCAGTCAGGGCTCAGTCTCACGACCCTGAGATCATGACCTGAGCTGAAATTAAGAGTCTGATGCTCAACCGACTGAGCTATCCAGGTGCCCCGAGTAGTCAGTTTCTTTCTTTTTTTTTTTTTTATTTGACAGAGAGACAGCGAGAGAGGGAACACAAGCAGGGGGAGAGGGAGAGGGAGAAGCAGGCTTCCCATGGAGCAGGGAGCCCGAAGCGGGGCTTGATCCTGGGACTCTGGGATCATGACCTGAGCTGAAGGCAGATGCTTAACGACTGAACCACCCAGGCGCCCCATGAGTTGTCAGTTTCTTAAGTGGCCATTTCTATTGCCTGGTCTCTGTTATATAGTGATGGAATTCCTCCCTGTGAGCCTTAATTTCCCCTCTTTGAATGGATAAGGAGGAAGACTTACTTTTGGTGGAAAGGTGAATCTAATTTCTGAAAGAAGTGCAGTTTGGCTGTATTCCCAATCTCAGATGCCACCTGGCAGAGCTCAGTAACTCTTCTGTAGCCAGAAGCCTAGAATGAGATGATGTTTGCTTAAGTTAGAATGAGGTCAAAACAAAAGAAGTGATTTCACACATGAGGCAGGACCCGCATGGGATTTTTACTCAAACCAACGGTATAAGCTGAAAATGTAAATATAAGTAAAATTACCTAGGTAAGCGAAAAATGATAGACTTTTATTTTTATTTTTTTTAAGATTTTATTTATTTATTTGACAGAGAGATAGTGAGAGCAGGAACATAAGCAGGGGGAGTGGGAGAGGGAGAAGCAGGCTTCCTGAGGAGCAAGGAGCCCGATGCGGGGCTCGATCCCAGGACCCTGGGATCATGACCTGAGCCGAAGGCAGACACTTAAGGACTGAGCCACCCAGGCGCCCCAATGATAGATTTTTAAAAAGAAATATTTACAAATTTGGGATTTGAGTGGGAACATGACCATTTTGTTTTCCCCAATGAAACCATGCGTTCTGTGATTATGGAAGTGTTTTCTATATTCACGGTCCAGTTCAAAGTGACCCCATATGACCACTGAACACTTTGAATGTGGCTGGTACAACTGGGAATTTTGAATTTGATGTCATTTAAATTTAAGAGCTACAAATGTCTTTTTTTTTAAAAAAGATTTTATTCATTTATTTGACAGAGAGAGACACAGCGAGAGAGGGAACACAAGCAGGGGGAGTGGAGAGGGAGAAGCAGGCTTCCCATGGAGCAGGGAGCCCAATGCGGGGCTCGATCCCACAGGACCTGAGCTGAAGGCAGATGCTTAACAACTGAGCCACCCAGGCGCCCAAGAGCTACAAACACCTTGTGGCTGTTGTACTGGACATCACAGTTCTAGATCTCTGGTCTACTCTTCTTTTTTTGAAATTAATTATTTTTTTTATTAGCTTCAGAGGTAGAATATAGTGATTCATCAGTTGCATATAACACCCATTGCTCATTCCATCAGGTGCCCTCCTTAATGCCCATCAAACATTTATCTCATCCCCCCACCCACCTCCCCTCCAGCAACCCTCAGTTTGTTTCCTAGAGTTCACCATCTCTTATGGCTTGCCTCCCTCTCAATTTTCACCTTATTTTATGTTTCCTTCCATTTCCCTATGTTCATCTGTTTTGTTTCTTAAATTCCACATGAGTGAAATCATATGGTATTTGTTTATCTCTGACTAATTTTGCTCAGCATAATACCCTCTAGTTCCATCCGTGTTGTTTCAAATGGCAGGATTTCATTCTTTTTGGGTGGCTGAGTAATATTCCATTATATATATCTCTCACATCTTCTTTATCCACTCATCTGCAGATGGACATCTGGGCTCTTTCCATAGTTTGTCTATTGTGGACATTGCTGCTATAAACATTGGGGTGCAGGTGCCCCTTTGAATCACTATGTTTGTATCCTTTGGGTAAACACCTAGTAGTGCAATTGCTGGGTTGTAGAGTAGCTCTATTTTTAATTTTTTGATGGTGCTCCAGAGTGGCTGCACCAGCTTGCATTCCCACCAACAGTGTAGGAGGGTTCCCCTTTCTCCACATCCTCACCAACATCTGTCGTTTCCTGACTTGTTCATTTTAACCATTCTGTCTGGTCTACTCTTCTATAGCTCTTCTGACATTTGAAGTTTGGACATTACAACTACTCAGTGAATCCCAAGATATTTTTAAAAGAATAGGGTTAGTCATACTAACGTAGTGACAGTAGCCATATTTTGCATAGTGCTTTACAGTGTACAGGACACTTCCGAATACAGGATCTTACTGTGGTCATCATCATGGCAACCCTGATCTGCAGGTGCAAATACGTTAACTGTTTGTATTGCTGTCTTATCAGGGCTCTTTTGGTTGCAAGTCACAGAAACCCGTCAAAGTAGCTTAAGAACCAAAGGCGGATTTATTTTAAGAAAATGTGGATATCTGGGGCGCCTGGGTGGCTCAGTCGGTTGAGCGTCCAGCTCTTGATTTTGACTGAGGTTGTGATCTCAGGGTTGTGGGATTGAGCCCCGAGTTGGGCTCCATGCTCAGTGGGGTGTCTGCTTGAAGAAGAAGG